AAAAAAAAAAATCTTATTTTAGCAAGAAGTACAGCCCTTACCCTCAGGGTCGTATGTTTGGAAAACCCTTCTAGCTTGTTCTGAAGGCGCTTCAGGAGCAACAAGGGCCATATCCTTGGGGGATGGGGGGGAAGAGATTAAAAAAAAAAGAAGAAAGCTTTCAAAATATTCTTAATTCTGATACAGATTACTAAGGAAATATTTATCCATACTACACAGGTTTGGACCTTAAATTAATGAAAATGTAAATACTATAGAAAAAAATTAACGTAATTTGGCAATATTGCCGATAGTGACCTAAACCAACCAAGAAATATGTTAAAGAATATTCCACAAACTTCTAAACATATTTTATTTAAGTCTTTTCATGCAGATGTTGTGGCACAAAAGCAAACTGGAGACTTCAAGTATTATGTGGAGATTTAGATTTATGGTATTATTCTTTATACGTCTGAAAGCACACATACGTGTACCAGTAAAATTTATTGAGTGTAGTAGGCATGCACTGAAACATATAAAAATTATTTAGATAGAAAGCTGTGAGAGAATGTTTTGAAGTCTATTTCACAGACAGGTAGAACACAAATTTCTTAGCTGCATGAAAAAGTATGACTTCAATAGTAACTATTGTAATGCTTTTATTTATCCATGACTTTTTTCATCTCAAATACAATAATGCTTTGCAAAACATATGTGGAGGCACATGTAAAACCAGCAAAAACCATAGGCCTCCAGATTTATGTCAAAAAAAAAAAAAAAAGTGACATTGAGAAGCTATTCATGAGAAAAGAAAGGTGGCAAAAAGGGTAAGAAATGCACCTATTCAAGACACCCTTTAGTTTGAAAAGATACCAAAGACTTGATGGTCAAACAGAACATGAATCCCCAGAACAGAGCTCCAAAAAGTGATCGCTAGGAGTACTCAAAATCCTACATCTCCTCTTGCAAAGTTACACTCACCCATGTTGTTTTTCACATAGAAAGGAAAATGAAAAACGTGCTCAGAGGGAAACACTGCATTTGACAATGTAATGTTACCTGCTACACTATGAACAGTAAACACAAAATCCCAGAAACAGCAGCACTGACATTACTCTGAGTACCATAAACCCTGGGAAACTTGCTTTTGTTCATATTGTATTAAGTAAATTGATTTGTTACAAATCAAAAAGTTACCTTACACTGTTTTATGAAATATGCATAATCTTTTATTTCCAGTTCAGCTTAACTTTGCTTTCTAAAATGACTCAGATTTTCTTGAAGGAGAAAATCATGACAACTTCCTTTCATTATACCTGCATCTGCTAACAGTCAACTTTGGTCTGAACTGTACAAGTCTGTATTACTTCAGTTGAAGGAAGGCACAGAAAAGAAACCAGAAAACGTAGAATGAAAAGATGCATAACGACCTACTGTTCTTTTAACAGATAAGAGAACTGCTTCAGGGAAAGAACAGAAGCAAATCGTACATTTGACC